CACCGATCTTTGCAGTGGGCTGTGCCGAGCAAAGAATGTGCAAAACCTATTTTAAATGACACAAACCAAACCAAATGATGGGCTTTAAAGCTCAGCTGCTTTGCCACTTTGGACTTGTTTTTGTCCACCCCTAACAAAACTTATTATTACTACTTGAATATTATGATTATCAAGAGAAAACATTCATAATTCCTGTAACTTGACAACATGAAAAGCTAATTAAAATCAGTTATATCAAGAAGATCCTGCATTAGTGGACTATCTGAGCAAAGGTTCCTCTGAAGAAGTAGACAGGTGCCCGAAGAAGTAGACAGGTGCCTGAAGAAGTAGACAGGTGCCCGAAGACGTAGACAGGTGCCTGAAGAAGTAGACAGGTGCCCGAAGAAGTAGACAGGTGCCCGAAGAAGTAGACAGGTGCCCGAAGAAGTAGACAGGTGCCTGAAGAAGTAGACAGGTGCCCGAAGAAGTAGACAGGTGCCCGAAGACGTAGACAGGTGCCCAAAGAAGTAGACAGGTGCCCGAAGAATTAGACAGGTGCCCGAAGAAGTAGACAGGTGCCCGAAGACGTAGACAGGTGCCAGAAGAAGTAGAAAGGTGCCCAAAGAAGTAGACAGGTGCCCGAAGACGTAGACAGGTGCCTGAAGACGTAGACAGGTGCCTGAAGACGTAGACAGGTGCCTGAAGACGTAGACAGGTGCCTGAAGACGTAGACAGGTGCCTGAAGAAGTAGACAGGTGCCTGAAGACGTAGACAGGTGCCTGAAGACGTAGACAGGTGCCATATGGCCAGTGTTGCTAGTTCAGTTGGGAGAGACGAATATTTCTGCAGACAAACTGACTTTTGTTTTCCTAAACGTGTGCTCCGTTACTGGAAGCAAGAAGAGGTTGAGATAGGAGAACAAACCCACAGTTCCTAACCGCCTTCACTGATGCTGGTTTTGGGCAGTCTCCTGTTTAATATTACTCGTGTACATCTGTCCCATCGTCGTTCTCCTGCTGTAGACGTTTTCCTACAGGACAGCTCCAGAGAAAATGAAACCACAAAGAAAAAAACCTGAACATTACAGTCCTTCTGAGTCACTGGGCATCTCTCACATGGATGCATGGAAAACCAAAAGCTTTTCTGCCTCATTTTATTTGTTGGATTGCAGCTGAGCTTAGACTCACCTGTGTGGATATTCAGTAAACACCCTTTTCTGCCCTAAAGGCCAGTTGTGGAAAATAAAGCATGGGATCAGACCTTCTGGTAGAGATACATTATGAAATGCTAGGAAGAAAGTCCAGGATCACACAATGTAGCTAGGAACCGTTGGGATAATGACGTGTAGTACCTATTATAGATCGGTTTACTCCAAACCTTAAATTCATAGATCCAGAGGAGCTCAGGATCCCAAAACAACACAAACAACAAACCAACAAGTGGACTCCATTCACAAGGTCACAGAAAACCAGTCAGGGTCTTGTTATTGTGGCCATCTTCCAGCGCTGGATCAGGACCTGTGAAGAACACAACGATCAGGTTTGTAGAGGCTGTCAGAGAATGTCATGTTTTTAGTTGTAGCTATTTTAGGGGGATATCTGTGTGTGCAGGTGACTTACTGTAAATAATTATTAGGCAACTTAACAAAAAACAAAGATATACCCATTTCAATTATTTTTTTACCAGTGAAACCATTATAACACCTCCACATTCCCAAATATACATTTCTGACATTCAAAAACAATACAAAAACAAATCAGCGACCAGTATAGCCTCCTTTCCTTGCAAGGACACTCAAAAGCCTGCCATCCATGGATTCTGTCGGTGTTTTGATCTGTTCACCATCAACATTGCGTGCAGCAGCAACCACAGCCTCCCAGACACGGTTCAGAGAGGTGTACCGTTTTCCCTCCTTGTAAATCTCACATGTGATGATGGACCACAGGTTCTCAATGGGGTTCAGATCAGGTGAACAAGGAGGCCATGTCATTAGTTTTTCTTCTTTTATACCCTTTCTTGCCAGCCACGCTGTGGAGTACTTGGACGCGTGTGTGATGGAGCATTGTGCTGCATGAACATCATGTTTTTCTTGAAGGATGCAGACTTCTTCCTGTACCACTGCTTGAAGAAGGTGTCTTCCAGAAACTGGCAGTAGGACTGGGAGTTGAGCTTGACTCCATCCTCAACCCGAAAAGGCCCCACAAGCTCATCTTTGATGATACCAGCCCAGACCAGTACTCCACCTCCACCTTGCTGGCATCTCTGAGTGGGACTGGAGCTCTCTGCCCTTTACCAATCCAGCCACGGGCCCATCCATCTGGCCCATCAAGACTCACTCTCATTTCATCAGTCCATAAAACCTTAGAAACATCAGTCTGGAGATATTTCTTGGCCCAGTCTTGACGTTTCAGCTTGTGTGTCTTGTTCAGTGGTGGTCGTCTTTCAGCCTTTCTTACCTTGGCCATGTCTCTGAGTATTGCACACCTTGTGCTTTTGGGCACTCCAGTGATGCTGCAGCTCTGAAATACGGCCAAACTGGTGGAAAGTGGCATCTTGGCAGCTGCACGCTTGACTTTTCTCAGTTCATGGGCAGTTATGTTGCACCTTGGTTTGCCCTCACGCTTCTTGCGACCCTGTTGACTATTTTGAATGAAAAGCTTGATTGTTCGATGATCACGCTTCAGAAGCTTTGCAGTTTTAAGACTGCTGCATCCCTCTGCAAGATATCTCACTATTTTTGACTTTTCTGAGCCTGTCAAGTCCTTCTTTTGACCCATTTTGCCAAAGGAAAGGAAGTTGCCTAATAATTATGCACACCTGGAATAGGGTGTTGATGTCATTAGACCACACCCCTTCTCATTACAGACATGCACATAACCTAATATGCTTAACTGGTAGTAGGCTTTCGAGCCTATACAGCTTGGAGTAAGACAACATGCATGAAGAGGATGAAGTGGACAAAATACTCATTTGCCTAATAATTCTGCACTCCCTGTATTTAAGGGGATTCCTTGGTAATCTCATTTTAATTCAGTACACAAACATGACTTCAGTTCTATAAATAACTATTCTGATATAAACAATGTTTGTTTTCACTGTTTTCATTTGATTCTCAGTAATTGACCTCGTCGGCCCACACTGGTTTTGAGCCGACATGAAACTTTGCCTGGTGGTGAGGGGACTGGGTGGAGCTTGGCACCAGCAGTGGTGAGGTATCCATTTCATTAAGTCCATGCACACTGACATGACTGAGACCATGCTGGCCCCAGGTCTCAGCCATGAACTCAGGGCAGTAGTTAAGTGGTCACGTAGACTGAGTACACATTCATATAGACCAACTGAATGTTGTTGTTTACATCCGGGGAACTGCGTACATCCACACAAGCTGGAGGGCAAGAACCCCATCTCCAGCCATTATCCACCGCTGTATCTCTGTGATTTAAGCTAACAACATGAAACCTAGGGATACACTACTTTAGATCATCTAGCACATCTTTGTGCAGATGAACAAAAAATAAAACATCTCAGAGCTAACGATGTTTAGCATAAAACTTCCAGATCTGTTTGAAATTGCTAACAGGCTGAGGGGATGACAGTCCTCCTCAGAACCAGCCATCTGGACTTCTCACAGTTGACCCAACAAAGGTGTAACTCAGGGCTGGGCAATCCTGGTCCTCGAGGGCCGCGATCGAGCAGGATGTAGTTTTTTCTCTGCTTAGTCACACCTGGTTTGAATCTGCTGCTGATTAACAGGCTGCTGAAGAGCTTGATGAGCTGCTGAAAAGGTGATTCATCAATGAATTGGGTGTGTTGGAGCAGGTAAACAACTAAAACATGCTGGATAGTGGCTGCCCCTGTTGTAATTGGCTCCCCTCTGTTAAATGCTGAAGGATGGCCATGACACCACTCATGTGGGGGGTGGGGGTGACGTCACACTTCAATCTCTACATGGACGTTCAGTGAGAGGCATGTTTTGCTTCGGTAGTAAGACCATTTATACATTACTGTTGTGTCCTTGGGCAAGACACTCAACCCGCCTTGCCTGCAGGTGGTGGTTGGAGGGACCGGTGGTGCCGGTACTCGGCAGCCTCGCCTCTGTCAGAGCGCCCCAAGTCAGCTGTGGCTGCATAGTAGCTCATCACCACCAGCATGTGAATGTGTGTGTGTGAATGGATGAATGACAGATTGGGGGGGGGGGGGGGTTGCAGAGCATTAAGAAGGCGCTATACAAATACAGACCATTTACCGTTACTGTTTACATAAAGCATGAAGAGGCCACAGCAGAGCATCCTGAGGAAATGTCTGGATTAAGAGCTTAGCTGTACCAAAACTGGCTTCATGTTGGTGAAGGCTTACTACACAGGTGCTGATTTGGCCTTGTTCAGGTCACCTAGGCCACAGAGGGGATGTGGTCCTGACATCGAAACCAGCAAGTCCTCCTGTGTGTCAGAGGGGTTTCAGTGCTCAGCTGTTAGTCTTATTGATTATGTGTTTCTTTAGGAAAGTCCTGCTAAGGCAGGGGGTCCCGGGCTGAGACATGCTATGGGACAAATGGTGTATGGGAGGCACTTTTCCTCTAAACCACGGTCACGTTTTAATTAAAGGTTATGCAGTCTGTAAGCCGGGTAAGCCACCCTGTATATGTAAATATACTGTATAGTCTTGCCATGAACTACTGATACAGCTCTCTCAGAGGGGCAGAATCCCTGGTTGTCTGTCAAACTGTCTCCACATGCAAATGGTCAGCGCTAGGACCATCGACATGAATATCCTGGACAATTCATTTCCATAGGCTCCAATATCACTTTTTTGAGGCCAAATGGGAGGTGGCCACCACCGCCATTTTGACCGTGTCACAGGTTCCGTCAAGCCCAGACAATTCCATAAAAGGGAAGAGAGGAGGAGCTGAGGGTGGGGCTGTAAGGCTGGGATCAACTGACAACACCCGGTCGAACTAGCTACAAGCTAACCTGAAGCTAACCCAAAGCTAACGTGGAGGTGGGAGCTCAGCTAACGGAGGTAGCAACCTAGCAACAACCGGAGTTAACTGTGCACAACACCAGAGCTTCTGAGTCAGAGATACGCCGGGCCGACCGCTGGGGAGAACTGGGTGGAACACAGAGGTCTCCCGAAAGCTGCTGAAAGCCAGCAGCCGCACAGCAGACAAGCGCCGCTGGGATCTGAGATGCACAGAGCTGGCGCTGGGGAGAACCGGGTGGAAAGGTTTCCATCCCAGAGCTCCACAAGCCGGCAGCCCACGCAGCACACAGAAGCCGCGATCAGACAGAGACGCGCCGAGCTGCGGGGAGGGGAGAACCGGGTGGAAAACAGAGGTCTACCGAGAGCTCCACAAGCCGATAGTGGGAACCCAGCTCCACCAACATGTTATATTTCAACCCATTTTGTAAAGTGCAGCATTATGTTAAATGCACTGGGTTTTACCCTATTACATTTAAATTTCATGGTTAAACAGTACATGTTAACCCTCTGATGCATGAATTATGAAATCATCAACCATGATTTTTTAAACAATTGTTTTCATTCATCTTTAGGTGTGAATGAAACAAATTTCAACAAATATTTTTGTACCATTTTGTTAATTTACAAATACTTTATTACATGTCCATCTCAGTGGGCAGCGTGCATTCTGAACATGAAATATGTTGGCTTGGCTTACTGAAGTCCAAATGGAGGGGCTCAAATGCAATAAAGTCTTCAACAGCTGTGCTTAATAGTAAAAATAAATAAATAACAATTTTGAGTACCTGTCCACTGTAGTGACCATTATGCACCAAAGGGATAAAATCTAAGCTCAGCTCGGCAGTGACCTAAAATACATAAATATAATTTTACTTACTGAAAAAAATGAAGTTGAGACTCCTTGGACGCTCTATTAGTGCAATTAATGCCACAGCAAGTCATTTTGTCCAACAATTGCACAAATAATATCCAAACAAGAATACACAAACACAGAGACTCAAAATGGCGGAGCAGTTTCCAGGCCAGACCGAGGCTCTACTGAGGCCTTTCCATGGAGCTAGCTCTGTGGTCACGTGGGTCTGATGCTCATTAATTATACAGAATTTTAGGCTTTTAATACACTTAAACAGAAGAGTGAGAAAAACATTCACCCCCCTCAGAGTTGTCATGAGTGTAAACTAGATCATTTAAACCAAAAACATGTTCTGGTACCAGGCTGTAAACATGTTTATTTCTGCTGTGAAATTGGTATTTTTAACATGGGAGTCAATGAGGATTTGCTCGCTTCTGACACCAGCCCCTAGTGGATGAGAGTGGAACTGCAATTTTTGGTACTTCTGAGTTGGACTCATTTTTTGAGCCGCATTGTGGGGGCTTGGCTAGGACCAATCAGAGCAACAAACAACGTGACGTATGCACTGCCACGGATGCTAGTCAGCTTTATTCCACAGCCAATAACTTGGCTGAGTGTAAATGACACAGGTTTCCATCATCAGAGTTCAAGTCTATGAGGATTACAGATGTACGAGGATTACAGCTGTACGGGGATTACAGATGTACGGGGATTACATATGTATGGGGATTTCATATGTACGGGGATTACAGATGTACAGGGATTACATATGTATGAGGATTACATATGTACGGGGATTACAGATGTATGGGGATTACATATGTATGAGGATTACATATGTATGGGGATTACATATGTACGGGGACTACATATGTATGAGGATTACATATGTACGGGGTTTACAGATGTACAAGGATTACAAATAAACGGGGATTACATATGTAGGAGGATTACATATGTACGGGGATTGCATATGTATGAGGATTATATATGTACGGGGATTACAGATGTACAAGGATTACAAATAAATGGGGATTACATATGTATGAGGATTACATATGTACGGGGATTACAGATGTACAAGGATTACAAATAAATAGGGATTACATATGTATGAGGATTACATATGTACGGGGATTACAGATGTACAAGGATTACAAATAAACGGGGATTACATATGTATGAGGATTACATATGTACAGGGATTACATATGTATGAGGATTACATATATACGGGGATTACAGATATACAAGGATTACAAATAAATGGGGATTACATATGTATGAGGATTACATATGTGCGGGGATTACAGATGTACAATGATTTCAGCTGTACAAGAATTACAAATCTATGAGGATTCTAAAATGTACAAGGATTACTGATGTACGAGGATTACACATGTACAAGGATTACAAATCTATGAGGATTCTAAAATGTGCAAGGATTACTGATGTACGAGGATTACAGATATGCAACGATTACGTTATACGAGGATTACAAATGTACGAGGTTTACAAATGTACGAGAATAACAGATGTACGATGATTACAAATTTATGAGGATTACAGCTGTACGAGGATTACAGATGTACGAGGAATACAGATGTATGAGAAATACAGATTTACAAGGATTACAGATGTACGAGGATTACAGATATACGAGGATTATTAAATTCATGAGGATTACAGATATACGATGATTACAGATTTACAAGGATTACAGATTTACAGTGATTACATATGTAAGGACCACAAATGTACGAGGACTACAAATGTACGAGGATTACAGCTATACGAGGATTACAGGTGTATGAGGATTACAGGTGTACGAGGATTACAGTTGTACGAGGATTACTGATGTATGAGGATTACAAATGTACGAGGATTACAGATATACGAAGATCACAGCTATACGAGGATTACAGCTGTACGAGGGTTACAGTTGTATGAGGGTTACAGATATACGAGGATTAGATATATGATGATTACAGCTATACGAGGATTACAGATATACGAGGATTAGATATACGATGATTACAGATTTACAAGGATTACAGATGTACAATGATTACAAATGTATGAGAATTACAGCTGTACGAGGATTGCAAATGTACGAGGATTACAGATACACAAGGATTACAGAAGTACGAGGATTACAGTTGTATGAGGATTACAGATATATGAGGATTGCAGATATTCGAGGATTACAGATATATGAGTATCACAGCTGTACAAGGATTACAGATTTACCTGGATTACAGCTGTACGAGGATTAGAGATATACAAGGATAACAGACATACGAGGATTACAAATGTATGAGGATTACAGATATACGAGGATTACAGATGTACGAGGATTACAGATATACAAGGATAACAGACATACGAGGATTACAAATGTATGAGGATTACAGATATACGAGTATTACAGATGTACGGGGACTACAGATGTACGAGGATTACAGATATACAAGGATTACAAATGTACCAGGATTACAGATGTACGAGGACTACAGATGTACGAGGAGGACAGATGTATGAGGATTACAGATGTACAAGGATTACAAATGTACGAGGATTACAAATGTACGAAGATTACAGATATACGAGGATTACAGACGTATGAGGATTACAGATGTACGAGGATAACAGATGTACGAGGATTACATATTAACGAGGATAACAGATTTACGAGGATTACAGATGTACGAGGATTACATATTAACGAGGGTTACAGATGTTTGAGGATTACAGACGTACGAGGATAAAAGATTCACGAGGATTACAGATGTACAAGGATTACAAACGTACGAGGATAACAGATGTACGAGGATTACATATTAACGAGGGTTACAGATGTTTGAGGATTATAGATGTAGCAAACACATTTCCAGTGAAGGTCAATACAACACTTCTGCACATGCTGTTACTCACTGTGATGTCTTGCAGTTGTTTGTTGTCACAGATCGTCCGGTGTAGTGAATATTACACCTGACAACGTTGTTGGTGTAGTCAGACTCCAACACCAAGAATTTGGGATTAACTTGAAGCTGGAGAAATAAAGAAGAATGACTGGACTGGGATTACATATCATCCTACAACTCAACACACGTACGGGGGGACTAACAGATGTTAATCTGTGTAACACCGACCAGTAAAAGTTTTTAAAGAAAATCTCAAAAATTTTATCAAACAGATCATTTTGTTGTGATGGCCTTGTCCCTTTTCACTCCCACGGGTTGTAACCTTGCACTGTCCACCACCTTTCTGTCTGAGTGAGTCCCACCCTCTAGACTCTCACCTTCAGTATGTAGTTTCCAGGTTTGACATCAGTGATATCGATCCACTGGCAGTCAATATCAGCATTGTATGTATCGTAGCAGCCTGGGCTCAAACCCTGAAGGAACGGAGAAGAGGGGGGCGGCAGGTGAGGAATACTGATACCAACACTGTAAGACCCTGTTTAAACTCTTATTAAGACTTTCTGCTTCAGTCTTCAGCAGAGCTTTAAGCTGTTGAGAAGAGGATGAGCTCCCACGGCTGACTGTCATGGCTGCCATTGCTGCGTTACCTGAGTGTGAGCAGTGCAGGCGTAACGCTTCAGGTGACCAAAGTCACAGGTGGTGTCCTCCAGACAGAAGCTGGCCTTGTGTCCCTCGGCCACTTTACGACCAGTGCTGACCTCCAGTAAATCGTAATGGCTGAACTCATCCATACTGTGGTAATGCCTGTCAGCAAAACATAAACACAACATATTGCTCTGATTAAAACACCAGGGATGTTGTTTCATCTTAATGCAACCTGTTATGCTGGGTGTCGGTGCTGGGAGTTATAGCCAGTGTTGTTCCCGGCTTACTCTAGAATCCAGTTTTAAACACGGCAGATAAAAGACAACAGATTTATGATGTGTGTGTTCTACCTGTTGACCTGAGCTGTTCATGGTTTAGTCAGCGACGATGCACCCTGACTGAACAACATCACCACTGATCAGTGCATAATGAATATTAATTACTGGCTATAATAAAGTATTGCTGAGGCAAGGAATTACCACTCTAATTATGTATGGATTTTGTTAATTAGGTTGTACCAATCAGCAGGATCAGAGTTGTGTGCGTGTGTGTGTGTGTGTGTGTGTGTGTGTGTGTGTGTGTGTGTGTGTGTGTGTACATGTGTGTGTGTGCAGAGGGATGCAGTAATTCTTGTGTGTTTGTTTGTGAGTGAGCTCATATGTAGTTATTTCCAAGTATGCATGCCAATATCTGTTTGTTTCTGTAAATATGTGTGTGTGTGTGTGTGTGTGTGTGTGTGTGTGTGTGTGTGTGTGTGTGTGTGTGTGTGTGTGTGTTTGCACAGCTGTAGCAGCTTAGGCAAGCCTGGATACACAAGGCCACTGATCAACTCATCTGAACTGTGATGCGAACCGTTGAGAGACTCTTGCTGAGAGTCAACGAGCTGGTCCATTTGAAACCATCTCCGTGTTAACGGCTGTATGCTTTGGTGCTCTCCCAAGTATCAAAGTGACCCCAGCTTGCTTTTCACTTCTACCACCCCACTATGTGTGTAATTAGAGAGCACTCTGGCAAAGTGCCCATTTGTACAGGAAATGATGACATCATCATTTCATGGTAAAGAGGAAAGGTCTTTTCTTGTCATTATTTTATGTGTTTATGCACGAAAAGCCAACAAGAGTCATTGCTCTCTATTTTTATACATATCAGTCCATCAGTCATCCATCCATCAGTCATCCATCCATCAGTCATCCATCCATCCATCCATCCATCCATCCATCCATCCATCCATCCATCCATCCATCCATCCATCCATCCATCCATCCATCCATCCATCCATCCATCCATCCATCCATCCGTCCGTCCGTCCGTCCGTCCGTCCGCCCATCCATTCATCATCGGGAGCTGGTTGTGCAGCACCAGGCTAAAGGTCAAAGGTGACAGATCATCTGCTGCTGTGGCCCCCAGACTCTGGACCTCTCTCCCCCTGAGCCTGAGATCAGTGGGCTCAGTGGTCTCCTTTAAACTCACCTGTTCAGGTTTGGTGGACCTTCATCACCCTCTCCTTGTTCTGCCTTTCCTGGGATCCACTGGTTTCCCGTTTTCCTGTTCACTTTCTTACATTTCTTAATCACAGTTTTTATTTTTTATTTTAAACATATTTTTTAATCGTTTTTTTTCTTTTATATATTTAAACATTTTTGTTTTCATCTAGCGCCTCATGATGTCTATCTTGAGAGGCGCTACCTAAAAGATCATTTTCTTTCTTTTTTTTCTTTTTTCTTTTTTCTTTGTTCTTTCCTTTTTTCTGTCTTTCTGTCTTTCTTTCTTTCTTTCTTTCTTTCTTTCTTTCTTTCTTTCTTGTGACCATTCACGAGCTCCAGTGGGGAAGACAAGCCAGCAGCTACTCCCCGATAATCTGACCTGAGGCTGAACATTAATGTTGTATTTCTCCGGGCGTTAAAGTAACAGTCCTGATGTAAGGAGCGTTCATGACTGTTTTTGAGAGTTTATGTCACACAAGAGCACATCATCTCTTCCTATTCTCTAGAATCTGTGTGAGTGAGTGTGCCACAGAGGAAGGTAGAGTTAAAGAGCAGGAGGCACAAGAAGTTCAGATGGCTAGAAAGTTCTCCTGCCTCCTTGCACTCCTGGATCCCGCTGTCGACTATGTCAACTGCTGAGAATGTAGAGTTGGAAGGACACGTTAGGGACTTAACAAGAATAGCGTGGAAACTTAGTACACACACCATTACTTCCATTATGCACAGCTATGAGTCATTTTCCACAAACACAAGTGAAGTTCAAGGTTCCACAGATCATATAAAACAAAAGCAAAAGCACCAGAGGCTCTACATTTGTCTTCAACAACGTGAAACTGTGACACACGTCTACGCTCGTGCTGCACCGCCCGGACCACAACCTTTATTAAAGGTATGAAGAAGGGAGAGAAAATGAATAAAACATGAACAAGCTTGTCTGTAACGCAACAAAACTAATTCTTCCAATGACGTTCCACGCTTTGCACCCTGACTCACATGAAGCATAATCTTTACGTGGAATTTTTTTTCCTATTTGTGTGAGAAAACCTGCCGAATTCCAACATTTCCCTGAGCACAATACTCAGGAGGACGCTGCTCCCTTCTGTTGCTACTCCAGAGCACAAGAGTGGAGGGAGAGTAATGAAAAGCAGAGCTGTCAGCTACACGGCTTATTCGACAAAAATGTAGGACAGGGAAGTTTACTGTGAGAATCTGGGCGAGAGCTGAAGAGATTCCTTTGTAACCAAACACTCTGTCCCAGAATCCCGTATCTGTGCCGCCATACTTTAGCAGTTTCTATCGTCTCGTGTGACAGATTGACAGGAAAATTGGATTGATTTAGGATTCTGATCATGCGCCAGTAGAATGATTGCCTTGGCGTTCTGCCTCCTGAGAACCACGGTGTGCATGTGGACTGATGTCAGACAGCCTCTTATCGGCCAGTCTACATTCCTCTCAGATGAGAAAAGAAACGGCGAGGCTGGATTTCACGTCAGACTGTGGACTGGCTGGGAACTAGATAAAAGTCGAGCTATGGAGTATCCTGTCAGAAAACCACTCACCTGGTTGGCTCAGAGCAGGGTCATTTTCATAGCTAGTGTCAGGCGCCATCCCAAAATAAACAATTCCCCTTTAACGCCGATAAAAATCGTCAACGATGTAAAAGTGAACTGAGAGACAATATTATTGCTAACTTGTTCTCAGTTGATTTATCACTAATGTCATCTTTACAGATCAACTAAACTCATATTTGAATAACATCTCTAATCTCTCTGGAACTAAAAGTGTTTATCAGCGGACCATCACTGCCGGTCATGAGAGGAGCTGAACGTTCCAGCCGTGCCTTTCCTATCGACTCTTGGCTGATGAATGTTTGCCACACAGAGGGATCTACTTCAGTAACAACTTCAGCTTCTTCTGGGATCGCAGACGTATCTTCTCTTCTGACAAGATTCGCCTGAACAGATAGGGATTACAACTTTTCATCTCAAACCTCGTTCATGTGTGTGCGTTGTAAATCGAGAGCTGAGCCAGAACGCGAAGCTCTCGATTTACCGGTGGATCTACGTTCCTACCCTCACCTATGGTCACGAGCTTCGGGTAGTGACCGTTAGAACGAGATCGCAGATACAAGCGGCTGAAATGAGTTTTCTCCTTCGCATAGCTGGACTCCACCTCAGAGATAGGGTGAGAAGCTCAGTCATCTAGGAGGGGCTCAGAGTAGAGCCGCTGCTCCTCCACTTCGAGAGGAGCCAGTTGAGGTGGTTCGGGCTTCTGATATGGATGTCTCCTGGACGCCTCCCTGGTGAGGTTTTCCGGGAATGTCCAACTGGGAGGAGACCTAAAGGTAGACCCAGGACACGCTGGAGAGACCATGTCTCACGGCTGGCCAGGACATCATCAGCTCATCAGTACCCCAGCAGAAAGGGTCAAACTCTGGTACCCGGTGATGGTTGTACCCCATGTGCAGCAGTACCTGGACCAGAGTGAATAGGGTGTGTATGGGGAGCATGAGTGGGTGTCCGGTGTGCATTTTTGTAAGTCTTTGGTTGTATGTGTGTGTGTGAGCATGAGGGAGGGAGTGTGTGACTGTGTTAGTGTATGACTGTATATGCCAGGTGGGGCCTTTGACTCCTCCCCTCTCATGGGACTTCTTTTGATGATATAGATCTTCATCTCCCCTCCCCCTGCCACACCTGGTGTGGGGTGTGGTGCCTTGGTCTGCCTGGGTCGTGGCTGCCGGGTCAGGGAGTTTAACAATTCTGGAGTCTGCCTGACCAATCCTGGTGGCTGCCTGGTGGGGTCTGGGTCCCTGGGCTCTGCTGGGTCTCCGGCGGGGTGGTTGCCCCTGGGTCTCGGGCTCGGCCGGCTAGGGGGTGGGAGGCTGCGGGCGGGCCTGTGGGCTTGCCGCCGATATCTCCCGAGACACTGCCGGCTGTTGGTTGTGGCCCCCCGGGGCGATCCTCTGTGCCTCTCGAGGGGGGCGGGGGCCTTTCTGGTTGCAGTCTCTTTGGGGTCCCTGTGCTCTGGGGCAGCGCCTGGATCTCTGGGATTTGGAGCTCCCTTCATCTCCTACACAACTTTGGGGGGCGGATCTGTGGTCCCTCACACTCTCTATTGGACGCTCCTATAGAGAAACCTTACATAAACAAGTGCGTGTACACACACAGGTGCTCTCATAAGTATGGACTTGGGCACGTTCATCACTTGTCTCAAGGCTGTGTTTGGCACTAAATGCACTATGATTTATTATCGTGTGATTGTTCAGTTAAACAAAGTTGATTATATATTTCATCATCAGGCTGACGCAGTGATAGCTTCCTCCTGTTGTATTGTTGTGTGTCCCATTTCTGCAGGTCTAGGAGCAGACTCTTGTCCATTATTGTTTATTTTTGTGGAAATAAATCAGGCAGAACTTGACTTTTAAGATCTCCCGTCTTCATATTTCAGATGATGAAGATGAAACAATAAGTTGTTTTTGTACAAATAAAACAAATGAGGTTTATTGTTCCTGTGAGAAAGCTAAATAGAGCAAATGTAGCTGTTTATTTTCATACTTTACAATTAGCTCACTACAGGTTCTTCTTTAGTTTTTACTGTTAGCTTTAATTTTCTTCATGCTAAATCTAAGAAGAACATTTTAAAGAACACCTTTTTCTGATACTTTCTCAGGTTTTGCAAACGCAGGCTGCAGGGGTCGAACCCACTTGACTTACAGAAATCTATTCATTTGAAAGGTTTGACTCCACAACAAAAACTCTACAGCACAGGTGTCAAACTCAGGCCCTCCAGCCAAATTTGGCCCGCGGTCTATTTTTATTTGCCCGTGAGATTAAATATCAAACATAAATCAAAACTGGCCTGCCAGACCCAACAGCATGGTCAGGCTGCTCAGGTGCTCTATGTCCAGCAGCTGTTGTCCGCGATGAAGATGAACAGAACAACACAGCTCCTTCCTCAGCTCAGAGCCCAAGCCACAGGTGCAGGTGTGTGGCTGGAACAGGTGAACATCACAGCAGGTCAGAGTGGAGCACACTGGGCTCGGACTCTTTAAGTTTTATGAACCTTTTCTGCTCCGAGACATGAAAGTTAACAGGTGAGATATTGCATTTTTATTTAAGATAGAATTATTATCTTTATTTGTGTTGTTGGCCTGTGAAAAAAACATTTAACCTACAGTAACAGGAGGTGGAAAGGCTGCAGACAGAAGAATAGAATAGGAAAGCTTGGTGTCACCGCAGCGATGACGCTCATACAGGAACAAGAAAGGAGAGTAAAGAAGAAGAAAACAGAAATACTTAAAAGATGTTTGTATGCTGCATATTTACACTCTGTAAGGAAGTAAAAGAATGATTGGAACATAAGTAATGAATACCACAGACGCGTTTTCAGTGTTAATGCAAAAAGAGTTTGTCTCCAAAGGAAATGGCCCAACGGTGCAGATCTGTAGATGAAGGGAAATGTGCATGTCATGGCTCAGAGCCATTTGGGTTTTTCCCTGTGTGTGTGTGTGTGTGTGTGTGTGTGTGTGTGTGTGTGTGTGTGTGTGTGTGTGTGTGTGTGTGTGTGTGTGTGTGTGTGTGTGTGTGTGTGTGTGTGTGTGTGTGTGTGTGTGTGTGTGTGTGTGTGTGTGTGTGTGTGTGTTTGCTGCGACTTCTTCAAAAAACATTACGTTTGGTCGGCGACTCCGTCCCAGTTTTTACTTCGGCCCAGTGTGAACTTGAGTTCGACACCCCTGCTGTTGGGTGAAAACAGTACTGAGAACAGAGTGTGTGTGTTTAGCTTTTAATGTGTGTGTGCTGTGTCATTTCAATAAAACCTTTCTGAAGGCGTCTGCCTGACGAGAGACCGAACAGACATCCGACTGGTGTGTACCTTCTTTCTCTCCGACTTTGCAAAGTCTGACTGTTGATTATTTGGTTATTGGTATTGATCATCTAAACCCTGATAACTCTAACCCCCTTGTGTGTGTTGGATTGTCTTTCAGGTAACCCTGGATTGGACAATAGAGTTACCCAACACCTGCTCTAGATGTTTAACGCGGCTGGTGTCAGTACAACACACCAACACACCGGCATAGTTACCATCTTCACAGCTGACCCAGTTATACACAACACTGTTCAAAGCAAAAGTAGAGATTTAAACATGTGTGGTTCACTTTAAGCTCTGATAAAGCAAAGGTTCTGGATGGGAACAGAAAGGATCAACAACAACGTTCAGGTTTCTCGTTCGTGCATCCATCATGTAAAGGAACGTACATGTTAATACTTCAAAATGGGAATATTTCATTGTTTGGGATTGCTGACTTGCTGAGAACGTTCACTCGGCTGATTCTGCAGCATTCTGAATGTGAAGCTTTCAGGACTTACTGATGACAGCTGTGCCATTCCCAGGTATGACGTGGCCTGTTGGGCATGAAGTCAGCTGTGCCCCTGTTCTTCACCCTCTGTGGAAATCGCAGCAGGACTCTTACGTCGTAGTCAGTGGTCTCCGGGCTGTAGGCAGAGCTGAATGATCGAAACACACATGGAGGGAGAGAAAAAACACACGATAAAGGAACCGAGCCACAAAGCTGCTAAAAGAATGCTGCTACGTCTGTTTCTCATAAGCAAGACTCACGATGGATACAAACGGCTAGGAGGCGGGAGCATTTCTGCTAAATAATGCATCCCACCGACCGTGGCTGTCTCTCCAAACACACTCTTCCAACACGGGGCAGAAAACGGAATGAGGTACGCTTTCTGTTGCGCTTCTTTGAGAGGAAATAGAGGCTTAACCTCAAGTTCACAAGCACTGAAGATGTAAGCCATCCATCTTGTGACCGTTGTTGACGTTGGAGTGTATGGCACAATTACAACAGCCCATCTGTGGGTGCTTGCAGCAAACTCAGGCAGGATATGAGAGGGCTTTGAGGGAGGGTCAGGGTGGCGTATCATCCATTCACACACCGGTGGTGATGATGAGCTAGCTGCCCTGGGGCGCACTGACAGAGGCGAGGCTGTCGAGCACTGGCACCACCGGTCCTGGTGACCAGCAGGTAAACTAGTGCCTTGCTCAGGGACACAACAGCAGCAGGAGCCGCTCCTGAGCTGCTGTTGCTGCCCCAAAGATGACACGTGTGTGTCGGACATATTCCTTGAAAAGATTTGCATCATAACACCAACGACTCCCCCGCGGAGGCCCGGCTGGGAGCTGCAAGGCTGTGAAAGTTTCTGCTGGTCGAGCTTTGTTGGTGAAAAAATACAGAAGAAAAAAGTGTCTGAAACCGTGTGTGTGTTCAACAAGCTGGTCTACCTGGACAGGCATTTTTCCTCTGAAGCACAGCGGAGAGAGTACATGTGGGCTCTCTGGATGTACGTGGAAGCCTGGACGTAGTTGGGATCAGGAACCAGATCCGGCAAACCTGTAATGACCAAAAGCATGCTCACCACCACTTCAACATGTCGCACCCAGATCTGCTCTAAGCGATGCTGACAACAGCGAACACAGCAGATGTGCTGCTGGATACGTCCCTGGTGATGCAAAGGTCAGCCTGCTGCTGTGCTTGTTCACACATTTGTCTTCACCTCCTGTGATCTGTGATAGACGCCGGTGCCGATGGAGAACGTGACGGGCAGCCGAGCGCGCTCCAGGTCTGGGACGAGCTGCAGGACGCCAATTAGCACGCATTCAAGAGTTGTATCATCACTTTCTAATAAGACCCTCCTGAACTTTGGATCGCTCAATAAGGCGATGCAGGCGGAGCGAGAGAGAAAGAGAACGAGTTCGTCTGAATCACAAAAAGGAAAAACTGTTTCATGAGTTTTGCTAAATAACGTCTAACAGCAAACACCAGAACACCCTCTGTCCAGCCCAGCGGCAGGATGGGTGAGGGCGACGGACGCACAGGAGTTAAGCCCTCGCCCCGTAATCAGAAGGTTGGAGGTTTGGGCCCCGCTCAGTCTGTCGTTGTGTCCTTGGGCAAGACACTTAACTCCCCTCGCCTGCTGGTGGTGGTGGTCGGAGGGGCCGGTGGCGCCTGTGCCCGGCAGCCTCGCCTCTGTCAGTGCGCCCCAGGGCAGCAGGGCTACATGTTTGGACCGACAGCAGGATGTTTGGGTTTCTTCTGACTTTTAACCCCAGAGAGGGAGCGTCCTCTTACATCTGTCTGACATTTAACACTCAGGTGAGGCTTCTCTCCTCAGCTGCTAGTTTAAATACGGGTTTCCTCTGTGGGCTCTGTGTAAACATCAGTGTCACATCTCTATCCGAGGCAAACATGCAGCATGGAGACACCATGTGTGCAATGAAGGTTTCCAAGCATCACTCTCAAACCTTCTTCTTTTTTCACTCCTCACCCTCTAATCTGCAGAAATGTGGAAGTGGTTCTGACTGAGAAGCCAAAGCTGATCAGCGCTCAGTGTCGAGTGACAAAGCCACCCATCGCACGCCAACCGGGGCACGGAGAAAAGAAAGTGAGGCTTGCCAGGGCTTTTCTACGTCTACTCAGAGCTGGCGAGCTCCCGTGCTTCTGTAGACAGAGCTAAAGGCTGCAGAGAGTCAAACAGATGGATCTGATCTTCACGTAAACGTTTAACAGAACATGTGTAGCTCCTTTTGAAGATGTTCTTCCGGCTTGGGCCGATGGTCTGTGTGCTAGAATCCACATCTCAAGCTTTGGGTTGCTTCGTTTGGGGCTCCGATAAAGAACAGCTAAACGTTAGCACAAACAAGTATTTAGACTTGAATCTAAAACTATAAAGTTCCTTTAACTGGTGAAAAGCAAATAGCCTACCAGAATAAAAGCAGACTATCAGAATAAAAGCAGACTATCAGAATAAAAGCAGACTCCTTTTGATGAGAAGATTGTGTGAATGTGATCAGGTGAAACCCTGACCCAGCCAGGAACACGAAAACACCAAAAACATCCTTTTATTTTCAGAGGGACTCTGGTGTTACAGAAGGCATCTCTTTTATTTTGGTAAACTACTTAAAGTTGGTAGCTGTATTAATTTGCATATTACCTAAATATTTACTTTGAAAGTGGAATTCAGGAGTGTAGGGCGACGGTGGCACAGGAGTTAAGAGCTCGCCCCATAATCGGAAGGTTGCAGGTTCGAGCCCCGCCCAGCCTGTCGTTGTGTCCTTGGGCAAGACACTTAACCCCCCTGCTGGTGGTGGTCGGAGGGACCGGTGGCGCCAGTGCTCGGCAGCCTCGCCTCTGTCAGTGCGCCCCAGGGCAGCTGTGGCTACATCGTAGCTCATCCCCACCAGTGTGTGAATGGGTGAATGACTGGCTGTGTTGTAAAGCGCCTTGGGGGGTTCCAGGTCTCTAGAAGGCGCTATATCAAATACAGGCCATTTACCATTTATATATTTATTATATTTATAAACTTGGACTGAGCTTTCCCTTCACGTATTTATTTGGTTGATGTTTACCAGGACGATGCCGTCCCTCCTACTCATGATGGACGTTAGGTCTACACTACGTCATGTTACTCCGGTTCCCTGCACACCAACAGGTTTGAAAGGCTGTTTGAGTGTTATCTGCTATCACACGTTTCACCTTGTCTAACTCATATTTAATCCATTTATTGAAGTCTGGAGGGGGAATTACAGGTAGTATTATTTTCTGACTTACTAAATCCTTACACCAGCAGAACTGCATCAAAAACAGAAATGCTAACATGGTTGCCTCTTAACATGATTTTATTTTATAGATCCCACTGTTATCACAGTATCGCCAAAGCCTGATGTTGCAGTGAAGCAGTGCGATAAAACATCTGCCTTTCAACAGCTCCTAATGGAAGAATCTATACTGCAGTGATTACTGAGAACACCGAGGCATTTGTGCGCAGGATGGCTTTTGTGCTGTCTGCTAGGAATGGCTCACAGCTCTAAAGAGTCTAATGAGCGCGCTGGAGACGCTGCTGTGCAGTAAAACAGATTATAGCGTGAAACAAAAATGATAAACCCGCGTTAAAGAGCCTAGGAATCTCATTGGAGGTCTCAATATCCTCTCAGCTGGTACACACACTGCCTCCAGCACGCACAGCTTACACTCATACGTTGTGTTTTCTAATCTGTAATCTTGTGTTTGTTCTTATTTCACAGGAAACGTCTTCATGGCAGCAACAGCGATGAAGTAAAGAAATGATCGTTTATTTAAACATTCATAGAAACCGTCTGTGAGGTCAAATTATAATAATAACAATAATAATGCACTGAACTTATATAGCGCTTGTTTAGGACACTCGAAGGCGCTTGCATGCGCTCACATTCACACACCGCTGGTGATGGTAAGCTACTTTGTAGCCACAGCCGCCCTGGGGCGGTTGGACAGAGGCGAGGCTGTCATTTGGTGCCGTTGGCCCCTCTGACCACCAACACACACACACACACACACACACACACACACACACACACACACACACACACACACACACACACACACACACACACACACAGTTACGGGGACTTTCCACTCGCTTCCCCCTCTCAGTGTGTGGTTCCCTTTCTCCTGCAGGAGGTGGCCGCCACCACCCCTTCACACCGGCCCCCTATGAGGTCACCACCTCCACCGAACCTACATGCCTCATGAACCAGTCAACGCTCTCGTAACTCGGAGCTCCCCCACACAGAAACACAGCGGCTCTTGTGTGAGCTCTGTGCATGTAAGCAGGCTCTGCTCCACACCTGGTTCCAATAACTGCATCAGTAGATGATGAGCCTCGCATCTGCTCCGCTTTTCTCCCGCCTCTGTGCTAGCTAAAGGAAACTAGGTCATCTTTAATCACCTGTTTCGATTTGATTACATCAGCTTTTCAAAGACATTAAAGAAAAATGTCAGAGGAACACGATCACATACAAAAGGGGTGATGGTGGGCGTGGTGGTGCCTGCTCCCTTCTGGGCTTTGCATATTTCAAATTCATAGGAGCAGCACCAGCAGAGATCAGATGGCAAGTGTTTCATCTTTTTGCCTCAAAGGCAGAAACACTTTGAGTAAATCTGTTAGAGCCTGTCAGCCTTGTTTTTACTGGAAATGTAGTCGAATTCTGAAGGATTTCCTCCGAACCTGTTCTGTTATTTACGGCCACTGAACTGCTCGACACTATCTGCTGCTAACTCAACCGCTAACAGAGCAGAGCGTCTGTTCATGAAGAAGTAAAGCCAGGCGTGCTGTACCTCTTTGTTCTTGGCGATACACACTGCCAACACCGGTGCTCGGGTTTTCAAGGGCAGAGTTTGGAGAGTTTCTGCTCGGAGGAAAAGGCTGCAGGAAAGGAGGCTGGCGTCTCCCAAATGGAGGAAACTGCTCGTACTGCGGGCTTCGGACTGGTGGTAGTCCACCGGCTCCTGCTCTGTCCACCACAACAGGAGGGCCCTGGTTGGCATCGGGGATGGGGACTGGGTTGGCAGGAGCATACTCCTCATTGTAGATGCTGTGAGTGTATCTGTGGTCCAGACCATCTGTAAACGATGACTGGTGAGTCTGAGCCGGAATGATGGGATTGGGCCCGTAGCCGTAGGACTGGTAGTAATAGTAACCGTTTTCATTCGATTCAGATGGAGAGCCTGGGAACACTGGGGCCAAACCAGCAGGATAGCCCTGTCCCGTCCCATAGCCTCCACCTCCAAACCCCACACCAGCAACAGGCTGGAAGGGAGGCTCGTAGCGCCTTACAGGGCCGTCTGGAAAACTAGGGTCAAAAGTCTGGAAAGGAGGCTGCTGAGGAAGTGGGAACTGTGGGTATACTGGAACGTTGTATGAAGACGAGGAGAAGCTTGAAGAGGAGGATGGAAGAAAGGGGCTGCTCGGGGAACCTTGGAACTGGCTCCTTCCTGTGCTGCCTGCAGTTTGCCTCCAGTTTTCAGGAACTTGTCCAAAGCCAAAAGGATGCCTTGCCTGCCCACGGACAGTTTCAGAGGAGCCCCTTGGTGGAGCTTGTCTCCGGAGGTTGCTTCCATTACGTCTTCGTGGAGATCTTGGACGGGTATCTGCCAAAACCACTCTGGGACTTCGTTCTGGGGCTCCAGCTCCAGCAGGGACAAACTCAGCTCCACTGTCCAGCAGGCTGAACACGTGACCGTTGTTCTCCCACTGTATCACCTGTCTCCAGGGGGGGGCAGAGCTGTCTGGCTCTTGATTGTGATTCTGGGTCTCCTCCTGAGGTTGTGTGGCAACCTGAGTCTGTCCTGAGCCCAGCAGAAGGACTAAGACACACGCCGAAACAAGAGACATCATTCTGACTCCAAAACGCTGCACTTCACCCCAAACGTTCAAAACAGGAAAAGGAAAATCCAGTTGACCTCAAACTAAAACCACTGTCAATAAAAAGTGTGTGTCCACTTCCCGTGGGCGCAGCGCTGGTCAGCTTGCTGGGACAGACGCAGGGCAGCAAAGTCGGCTTGCTGAGCGCATCTGTGGCTCTTCTGCCAGCAGCAGAGAAGCTTGAATGTGCATTCAGGAGAAATCACACCCAACAGAGTCCAGGTTCACCTCAGTAGAGCTCGAGTCTGCCCGTGCTGTAAGAAAACACCCGGCTTGTGGCAGGTGTGCTGGCTCGCCGCTAGCGGACTCAACATTTCTCTCTGCCTTTCAGAAAGAAGTGCATGCTCACTGCACAACTCGCCCGGCTGCTGACAACGGGCCGTGAA